TAGTTGAATTCTTTTATAGGGTGATAAGTTAGCAAGAAAAGAAAATAAAAATATATATATTTAAATTTTGACTAATAAATGAGTGTTGGTTTCATCAAATATAATTAAAATATTTTTGTGCAAACAATTGTCTTCAAAATATTGATTTTAATATTGTTATTTGTATAAAATTTAATTTTAATGAAATATTTGTGTTTTTTAAATAAAGTTCAATTTTTTCCGAATCTTTAAAATCTTTTATTTATCTTTAATTTTCAATTTTCTTGTTAAACAACCACTTCACATAATCTGTTCATATCACCTTGAAAATTATAGTCTCATAATAATTACTGAAGTTATTCTAATAATTTTAAAAATAAAATAATGATATTTTTTTGTAAAATAATTTTAATTTTATTCTATTTAATAAAAACTGATGATTCGATTAAATATTTTAGTTATTAAATTTTTTTAATTTTTGCTTTTAATTTTTTTTGTCATCAGTTAAACTACTTTACATAATTTGCGCACATAACCTTGAACTAATTTCTATTCAAAAAAAATTCTAAACCAATTTGCACTCAGCAATCACTCACAGAACAAATATTATTTATTCAGACTCATATATACATGTATTTATATACTTGTATGTACACATGTGCATATTCATAATTGTGTATACATTTTTGGCTACTAAAAGTGCGTCAGTAAACAACGTATCTACATATCTGCAATTTTTAATGTTTATTTTTTCGCATACTTTCAAAATGTCTTCGTAATGAATTGCAACATCCGCTTCACGGAAAAAAATAAATCAGAGAATTAAAAAAAAATAAAAAATTAAAATTAATGATTTCTGTAAAAAATAAAAAAAAAATAACAAATATAAAAAATAATAAAAATTAAAATTAAAAAAATTTAAGAAAAAAATAAAAAATTAAAAAGTAAAAAAAAAAAATAATATTAAAGAAGTCTTTAAAAAATTAAAAAAAATTTAACAAATATTATATACGATATTATAAACGAAAAAACAAGAAATTAAACAATAAAAAAGCTATAAAAAATATAAATGTTTTAATTTTAAAAAATTTAAAAATTTAAAAATAAAAAAATTAAAAAGAAAAAAATAAAATAAAAATAATATTAAAGATTTCTTTAAAAAAGTTAAAAAATATAACAAATGTAAAATATAACAAAAATTAAAATTAAAGAAATTTTGTAAATGAAAAAAAAACAAGAAATTAAACAATAAAAAAATATAAAAAATATAATATATATATATATATTTTAATTTTAAAAAATTTAAAAAGTTAAAAATAAAAAAATTAAAAAGAAAAAAATAAAAAATAATATTAAAGATTTCTTTAAAAAAGTTAAAAAATATAACAAATGTAAAATATAACAAAAATTAAAATTAAAGAAGTATTATAAATGAAAAAAAAATAAGAAATTAAACAATAAAAAAATATAAAAAATATAATATATATATATATTTTAATTTAGAAAATTTAAAAAGTTAAAAATAAAAAAATTAAAAAGAAAACAGAATAAAATAAAATTAAAATGAATGAATAAATAAATATCAACTACCTAATTAAATATTCTTAGTTCATTTTCTTTGCCATTTCCTTAAAACATCTTTACTGTAGATACTAAATTTGTTTGCGAAAATTTCATTATGAGTAATGTGAGCTCAAATTAAAATTATAATAATACCAAATACAAATAATCAATAAAAACACACATTTGTGGCGTGAAAACACAGACAAAAAAGTTTAAAAGAATAAAAAAATTAAAAAAAAATTTTTTTTCTTTCAAAACTGCACTTCACTCGTTTTGTCTCATTAAATAAGTATTGTATAATATAAAAAATTAATTAAAATTATTTATTTATTATTTTCTATAAATTTTTATTTTCTATAAAAAGTTAATGTCACCTTTTATGAAAGTGAATATATGCGAATGCATTTCTAATTCATAATACAAAATGATTATTTATTTTTAAACACATATAATTCACTGATAAGGGTTATATTATGTACATATGTAGGTATATGTATATATTGGACAAATAAAATACAATACATCTGTGGGGTTTTTGCGTGCAAAATTTTGTGTAAAACATTTGAAATGTGATAAGAGAGTCGACTTTGGCTAAATAGAGTTGAGAAAAGCGGGAAGCAATTTAAAGCAAAAATAATAAATACAAATAAATAGGGGGGAAAAAAATTAAAAATATGAATTTTTTTGAAATATATAAATATATTTCGGCATATGGGACAAATTTAATTTTATAGCAGCTGAAAGTTTTTCTGGTACACACATATGTACATACATTTTGGCAGATGTTCAAATTTGCATATTTTTATTTTGAAATAGTCAGTTTTGGTATTTTATTACAATCGTTTTCAATTTTGAATTTTGTCATCTAACGTATTACTACTTAGTTGGTCGCTGATTGCCACAGGAATTTTCCCACACTGAGTTATAAGTACGAGGCACAATCATAAAGTAAGTATACTGAGGCTTAACGGCCGGTTAGCTAATGTAGCAGACGAGACTGGTTCTAGGTGAGCACGTTTCATGAACATTCCAGTGCAGTCACCCGCCAAGAGCGAAATACGTGGGGTCATCCATTAGCTCGCATCGAAGGGAAAGTTTTTGCTTGAGATTTACAATGAGTTGAAGACTCCATATGGTAGTGAAGCTTGATTGAAAGTTTGTGGAAGGCGATTGCGAACAAGACGAGACTGTCTGTAGCCAACAAAGCCAGACGACACGCGGCCAAAGATAACATAATACGAAACTCTCACAAATTGCAGATAAATGAGTTCCTCGATTACTTTTCTGGGCTGGTAACAAAGAAAAATGAAGGAACTGTGAACAGGTGATCGTTAAGACGCCTCAGTACCACTTAGTCATTAATGAAACGCTTCGTTTTTCCTCGGAAAATAGGAAAATCAATTCATGTTATCAGTAAATTTTCATTAAACTGACCAAATTTGTATGTTAAATATAAGGAAAAGTATTAATTATATATGTTTAAGCAAAATATGGCTGCTAAAGGTCAAAAATTATAATTCGCACAAGTTTTTGTTAGCTCAAAAGGCCAACAAATTCCCCTAAAATCTTAAAAGAAAACTTTTTCATCAAAGCAACTGCTTGCATCGCTTAAATGAGATGTCCTGAACTACGCTGCGAATTCCCCTGATCAAGCACCTTAAGATTACTAACTTTTTACTCCCTGATGGAAAGGGGTTTTATACCGACGGGCAGGTAAAGAAGCTGGTGGAGCAGTGGACTTCGAGTAAGCCACCAAAAAATTGATACTCTGCTACTCTACATTCATATATTGGAAAGGCGATTACGTCGAGAAATAGTTCACAATATTTACTAAAGTTTCATGTAATCTTTTGTTTAAATAAAAGTTTTGAAAAACTACAAAAATTCAGTATATTTACTTATTGGATAAGCCTCGTATGTAAAAATGTGTGACATGTAAAGCGATTGTTTGGGACTAACTTGTCTACATATTTTCTTTGTATAATCATACATAGCACATAATTAAATCTTTTAATAATCGAATCGAATTGAATTTGCACTGAGTATAGGTATTTGAACATTTTCCTGAAATAAAATCAAATCGATTTCACAATGTGCTGAAGACATTTTGGCGCTTCACTTGACAGCTAATATTAATTTGGAAAATGCCAGGCAGTGGATAGCTCTCTTCCGGCAGTTATACGGAGTGTGAATGTAAAATAGAAATTTTAGTTTTGGCTTTGAAAAAAAAAATTTTTTTTCTGAGAAATATTTTAGAAATAATTTTCTTGTAAAAAAATTAAAATTAAAATAAATTCCATTTCTATGTAAAATTACAATATTTCTAAAAAATATCAAAAAAAAATGAAAATTTCAGTTTTGACTTTGAAAAAAAAAATTGTTTCTGAAAAATATTCTAGAAATAATTATCTTGTAATTAAATTAAGATTAAAAAAAAAACAAAATTAAAATTTCAGTTTTGGCTTTGAAATAAAAATTGTCTTTGAGAAATGTTTTAGAAATCTTTTTCTTGTAATAAAATTAGAATTCAAATAAAATCCATTTTTATGATAAAGTACAATATTTCTATAAAATTTCAGTTTTCACTTTGAAAAAAAAAAAAAAAAAATTGTTTCTGAAAAATATTTTGGAAATATTTTTCTTGTAATTAAATTAAAATTCAAATAAATTCCATTTTTATGTAAAATTTCAATATGGTTATTTGATTTATTAATTCACACCTTTGCCCGTTTTCGCATACCTCGAAACGCTATCTCTTCTGCGTGCAAAATTTACTTTGTTCTGCTAAGCGTTTGTGAGATATAGTAAAAATACCAAAGATAAGTTATCGCACCTGCAAGTATAATAAATATTATCATCACTCATTATGTGACTTAAAACAAGCATGGAATGAAAGAACTAAAAAGTAATGCAACAAAAAATTAAATACCTTAACCATAAGTCATACAAAAGTTTCTATGTCTTCTATAATTATCAGAGGAAATACTACAAAAATTTTGCCCGATTTGAAGAAATCGATATTTTTTTGACATATATGCATGTACATATGTGTGTTTTTGTAAGAAAAAAAATATTTTTATGAATTATTTGCAATTCTTTGATTTGGTTAGAAACATTCTTATCAGAAATTCATTTTCAGTCTAATATCAGTATGTAAGTGATTAAATAAACTTTTCTGTTTATAAATAATTCCATAGATTCTTATCTTCAATGAGCTTATCACATCGTTTATTGTTCCACAGGCTTTTAATAGTTTCACAACTTGATAAGATCTATTAGATAAATTGAAATAAAGAAATAAATTGGTGTAGAAGCAGAGGTAAGACGTAATCAATGCTGTAATAGCGTAATTAGTCATCGATGTAAGACCGTTAAAACCACTAAATGATTTACAGATTTTCTTTTAAAGTGAAGCTAAAAACAAATACTAATATTTAATTTTTTTGTTATCTTTGCAGAGGAGCAAGAACGTGTGCAGAAGAAGACATTTACTAATTGGATTAATTCGTATCTCTCGAAGGTAAGTCTCTAAAGACAAGCTTAAAGACTTTTATTTAGAAAAAACATACATCCGTACTTATATTATATATATATTATGTATGCTACGTTATGTTGAGTAAATCAAAATTTCTATGCAAAATTATTTGTGCGTAATGCAAATGTAATTTAAGTAAGAAACTTTATTTGTTTTTAATTACACGCTTTGTATATAATTACAATGTCATTACCTTGAATTAGTTATTGTTGTTATAATATTAAAATATTGAATTACACAGAGTTGTGAATTTATGCATTTCCACATGCATATATATGTACAAACTTACGACTCTGCTGTGAAATACTCAAAGGAAGTAATTGCCACATTAGAAGAAGTGTGAAAAGCAAGCTAAACCAGTCAGTCAACTGCTACTTACAAGCGGCACGAAGTTGCGCCACGAGCTGGCAAGTGTCAGTGTTCGGTCAGAAAAATACCGGTCTTTTACTAGTTCAAAATGTAGCAAAAGTTAATAATAATGAGCTGTTATTTTTCGCTTTAGTTTGAGTATTCTTTTTTACAAGGCAGTAAATGGTATTCAGAAGATATCATTTGTGGTGATATTGGTTGGAAAAAAATATTAGTGTTATACTAGTTAAAAATAGTTGACCAATATACTAGTGGTGAACTGATATCTTCCGGCGCCAATATAAGAGTGGTGAACTGATATCTTCCGGCGAAGTGTGAGAGCATGGAAACGCATTTTAACATTGGATTCAAAATCTACCCAATCCCAACCCTGCAGGATTCTTTCCTTTAATATTGATGAATTTCAGCATTAAGGACTCATAATTTTTCTAATGACCTTAAGTGACGCACTGAAATTTTATGATAATTAGTTTTCTAATATCGTATATTTTTTTCTTAGCGTATTTTTTCTGATCTGTCTAAATTTAAAAAAGATAAATTACTTTTAAATTATCTATTCTTATGCTCTCATTATGTCAAATTATTTGGGTTATAATTTGTGACAGCTAAAGACATTGGCTGTTGACATTTTTGTGATAGAAAAAATTATTTTTCAAAACAAAATCAGATATTTTGAAAAGAAAATATTAAAAAAAAAATACAAAAAAAATTTTTTTTGAAAAAATACTAGGTTAGAAACGAAGAACAGGTTATTAACTAAACAATTTACTTTTGAAATTATATACACTTAGTTGCTTAATGAAATTGAGAATATTGAAATAAAAAAGTAGTTTTTTAAACAAGTGTTTTTTTTTAAATACATAATACCACTTCTCGAATTATTGAAAAAAAATTAATTTGAGAAAATTTCGTTTTTAATGCTTTGTTTCGAACACAAAACCAAAAGTCAAAAAAAGTCAAAAATTCAGACAACAAACTCAAGTTAGTGTTTTTAGAAAGTTTACTTTTTATCATTTTTTGAGTTTTTAATTATTTTTCTTTCGCAAAGTGAACAATTTTAAAAATTAAAAACTTTTTTTTGCAATGTGTTATTGGCAATTGTTTTCGAAATTTTTCAAAATTTCGCTTTTTTGTTCGAACCCACAAAAAAAATCTGCAAAATAATTTTCACTATGACTCACTTTCATCATTTGCCAATAGAACAAATTCTATGGAAATTTGTCTGACGCCAACGAATGAGTAAGTCTTTGCCAGAAAAAAAATTACTTTCCTCAAACCAAAAATCCACAAAATCAAAATAGAGTGAAAGTAAAAGCAAATTAAAAAAATGCAATTACAGTTGCAAAAGTAATATACAATTTTGTGCGGCACAAAAATAGAACATCCCAACGAGGAAGAAGAAGAAGAAGATGAAGAGTTTTAAATAAAAATTGGGTAAATAATAAATAAAAGCAATGGGCAGGCGGCCGGCCAAATGGACGGCATTTGCAGAAGAAGAAGAAGAGCTTTTAAAGCACAAAAGCAAATTGGACACGCGAAAAAAGGTCGAGTGAAAAAAGTGTATTTTTGAAAGTGCAACGTACCAAACAAACAAACAAGCGCACGTTTTTATATACATCCATATGTATTTATAAACATTTGTAGACCAAAATTTGTGTTAAATTGTTGGTGAAACTAAACAAAGAGTTGCACATACATATATCGGGCATTTTAATGCACAAAAATGACCACAAAGTCAACAAATTGTACATAAAAATGCACACAAATCTCTACATATACATATATGTAGGTATGTAATTTTGTAGATTCCGTTGTTCCCTTGTCTACTTTGAACACGTCGAAATTTCACTATTTCTTTATACTCCCCTTGCAATAAAGTCTGCTGTCTGTCGCTACTTCTCTTGGCTGCTTCTGTTGCAATATAATTTGGTCTAGTAAAAATATTTAGTTTTGTCTGTAAAATACAATGCAGCTGGCTATTTTCGCACGTATGTACTCGTATGCATGTATTTCGAGGTGAAAAGTGGCAATAAGGAAATGTGAACAAAGAATTTCTGAAGTTTCAGAAGTAAACAAAGGCGAAAACTTTCCGAGTTCTGCAAATATAAGTTGGAGGGAAGGGATTCGGCCAAGGGGGAGACCAACTACACGCACTGAGCTATGAATTTGCCAAAAGTTAGGTACATAAATAGGACAAACATATACACGTATGCATGAAGCATGCGTCAGTGCGTAATTTAAGGTAAATATATATATATATATATATATATATTTAAACGATTGCGTAGGAACCGCGAAGAGATGGTTTGAAAAGCTAATGAATTGTTGAAGGCGTTTTGTGTGTCTTTTTACATAATTTTATTGTAGTAAGAGATTTCTTATGCTCTCTCCGAAGAAGCAAAATCCTAAAACATATCTGCTGAATATAAAAAATATTCCTAAAATTATTAGCAAATCCTCTGGGATCCGAAGTAATAAGCACACTATTAGGTGAGTAAACTATCCCTAAGTAATGACATTGATTATATTGCCGCGATTGTGGTAACTCTGCGAACTTGAAATTCCCTTTCCTTCTCCCGGCTTTCCATTGATATATTTGCCATAGCTCTAGCTTGTTTAGTTCACCTGCTGTGTCGTGTTGAGTAAAAGTGTGTTCTGGTGCTCGTCACGAAAATGGAAAAACGAAATACTCGAAGGGTGCACCCAGACATCGCTCGTAATTGGATCATTCATCACGACAACGCGCCGTGCCACACCGCCCTCAGCGTGTCCCAGTATGTGACCTTTCAAGGGATCGCCGTGTTGCAACAACCGCCTTATTCGCCCGATATGTCCACCTGTGACTTTTTTGTTATCTAAAACAAAATCGTTGGTCAAAGGAACCCATTTTGATTCGATAGAAGACATCCAGGCGTCCGTGATGAGGGTACTCGCGGACATACCATTCGAAGCGTTCCAGAAATGTCACGAAGCATTGAAGTTCGGTTGAGCCTCCGAACGGACGCATTGTGATACCACCAAGGAACACTTGTGCTTATGCTTTATTCTATTAGTCAAACCAATGACAATTTTTTTACTTTAATGGCGTCACATCGCTTACGTGATTATAGCCGAGCTAGCAATGTTGTACGATTCATTCAGTGAATAATCACTTGGATCCCAGGTCATAAAAATATCGAAAGTAATGAAAAGGCAGACGAGCTGGCTCACGCTGGCGAGGCTGTTACGATATTACGATAGATATAAGGTCCTGTAACACTTCCAGACAGGTCAAACTGTTACTTGCCCATCCATTTATAGAGAGCTGGACATTCGAAGATAAAATGGATTATTTTTTTCCTGCTTCATTCCAATTCGTAGCCACGCCCACGGCTATTATGGAGATAGTAATGATACTGTAAGTTATTCGTGATGTTATTTGCTGATGACCGAATTGATTACTAATTATCTGTTGAGTGATAAGGATTGGCTAACAACGCGGTTAACGGTGACAACAAACTGAGTTGTGCGTGAACAAGCTTTGAAATCTCTCGAATTAGGACACTGATGGTTCTGTAAGAGTGCGCTGGCTAACAGAGCAACTTGGCTATGGGATGGTCTTGAACTTCGGAGTCTTTTCCACTTAATTTATGGGAAAGTTCTAAAACATTTTATCGGTGTCAGTCCTCTACGAGCGTGGAGCACGTGTACAACTTTCTAAGAGTCGGGTCAAAGGTATATATAATATGTGTACGTGTATAGGAGGGCGAGAAAGCATAGCAAACTAAATGTCACTCTATGCAGTTGTAACTGTCAACGCTTTGCTTGTGTGAACTTAGATGTGAATCTGTCTGATAAACAGTTACTGTAATTAATTCAATGCAACGCTGGCATGGCGCACAAACCACATATTAACTCATTCGCGAGTGCTCAGTTGCTTTCAAAGGTTAAACAGTTGAGCAGTAAAAGCATTATAAAATACTCGTATAATCGTATAATTGACAGTAAATATAATATATATATACATAAAGGGTATTTTTTTAGACTTGTGGGTTTCAATGAGTCAACACTTTTTTTCGGAGTTTGCTTTTACCAGCTGTCACTCAAGAGCTTGCACTCTATTTGGCTTGCGATTTTATAATGAACAGACTCACTCTGGAGCAATTTTTAGAAATCGTGCAAATTTATTACCAAAATAATGGTTTCGTGCGCTTCGTTCAATATTCAGTCAACACAATCGCTCAGCAGAGTTGGTAATTCGCTGCTGTGGAGCAGAGTTTTGAAGAAGACCCGAATTAGTCTATACACCATCGCATGCTACAAACTGTACCCATTCACTTTGTGGAAGATTTTGCGGAAGCATCTTGGTTTGCGGACTTATAAAATCTAATTCCTGCAATAATTAAAGCCGCACGATTCTTAAGCGCGTCGCACGTTCGGTGAATGGACCCAAAACGAGAGAGTCGCCGATACCCATTTTCACAATGTCTGCGATGAAACTCACTTTTGCTTGAATGGGTCGTTAAAAAAAACAAGTTTAACGCTTTTGGAGGAATGACAATCCACAAGCCGTCGCTAAGATGTTGTTATATCTTCAAATAGTCCTTGCTTGAGCATTGGGTCAGATCTCTTCAAAA